GCTTTCTACTCCCATAAAGAGTTTCATTCTTGGAAACTCAAAGGAACAGGTCTACCCTGCCCTATAGCGTCATTGTGAATCAAAATTGAATCAATGGCAGTGAGTTTTGAGAGTAGAAACTTAGTAAAGTTTAATAAATATGACCATTCCTTTCTCTGGATGTTTCCTAACATATAAAATGAAAATGGCTGTCTTGATTCCAGCACTAACACTCACTGATGCCTACTTACTGAAATCACCATGACTTATTAGGTAGGCAGCATTCTTCAAACAGATGGCTCTACAAGCAGGGTCTACCAAGTGGGTCAAACACCCTGATCTTGGGCTTCACAAAAGGCTGAAATGGGTTCTTTTACTGTACAATTTATAAAAATGGTGGATTGGGGGGGGTGGACTTGCTCATCTAACTTCACAAGGGAAGGAGTATCACCATCAGCATCAGTCCAAGGCTGACTGTCAAAAGGTAAAAGTTAAGACATACCTCCACCCTTTTTACCGATATGTTTTTTTAACAGTTTCATTGGCACTTCATCCACATCATACAATTCAATAATTCAATCATATCAAGAAAAGTTGTACAATTATCACCACAATCAATTTTAAAACACTTTCTTCTTTCTTATACTCATTGTTACTCATGTATTTTTCAATTGTCAAAAATATACACAACAATAGTCCAATTCAACAACTTTGACATGTAAAATTTAGTGCCACTGATTATATTCACCATTTTCCAATTTATTCCACCACCATAAACATAAGCTTAATGCCCCCTGGGCAACAATGTTTCCTCTTCCCCATGATAACCATAGGTCATTTTTTTTTGTAGTTTTCTTGATATAGTATTCACATATCATACACTTCCATACCTAAGCCACTTTTCAAAAGAGTTGTAAATACATCATCACAATCAGTTCTGGTAGCGCCACAATTTTTACTACATTGAAAAAAAGGAAAAGGAAAAAATTATAGATGAAAAGTATGGTCTGGAAAAAAAAAAGAAAAGCATGGTCTGGTTCATTTTTATAATGCTAATTGATTTCAACTGCTGAATTAGTAGACTATTTTTGAACATTTTTAAAGGCCTGTACAATGTTATACAACAAATAAAAGTTACCTTGACATTAAATTTCTAAGATTTTATCATTCTTTGAGTTCTTGAATATAAGCAAGGTATTTTAGAAAGGGATTAGTATCAAAAGGGGAGAAATTGAGAGGAATTAAATGTTCATCTGTACACACTCCTATTTTCCAATTTTAAAATGTAAATAAAAGTAATGGGTAAGAATTTTGTTAATTGATGTTTTTATAACCACAATTAACAAAGGCAAAAATTACATAGAAAAAAATTTCCCCTAAATGTCAGCCTCACAAAACAAGTCTAAACAGTATTCCTTCATTGGTTTTCTGCTGCACATTCTCCAACCACAATAAATTATAACTAAAAGTCCAAAATTAATCTTTGCAGATAGGAATACCAGAATCACAGGAGGGAAAATCTACACATTACAAACTCATTTACTTCTCTGGTTTAAATAACAAACTGTAAATAAAGTATCTAATCTCTTTTCAGAGTCTTTTAACCAGTGAATTAATAATTAATAATTCACTGGTTAAAATTAAAATTAAGAACAAAAAAATAAAAATAAATCATATATTCAACTACAAGTGTTCCTTTTAATAGCAAGAATGAATAGAAATGAGAGCACAAGATTTCATGGACCACCTAGCCACCCTCCTCTGCTTGCCACTAAAAAGTAGAATTAGTGAAGACTGATAAGACTAAAAATAAATCCATACAATGAAAAAAAATTCATTACATTGGAACGCTTACTTCACCTCAAGAGTAGAAAGAAAGCACAGCAGTACTTAGTTTTTCTAAACCAGCACCATGTTAAAACAGCGAAACATGCAGAAAAGTCAGGTTCCTTGAAATTGCAATTAATATAATCAAGCACAGTTACTAATGCTAAGGGTTGTTTTTAAATGAGGTATTGAGAAAAGAATGAAATATTAATTCAAAGATCCTTTGCAGACTTATGTGGAGACACCACTAACAAGAAGGGCAAGGGGACATGGAGCAGCACTCCAGCAGAAGAAAACAAAGGCAAATCAGAAAGAAAAATCAGAGAAATGGGTATGATGTTCTTGGTCCCTAAAACGGCATTAAGAACGAAAATTTGACTATACAGAAAAGAATTTCGACCTGCAAACCATTTACTTTCATTTCACTGAGCACAGTACATTTCTATCCTGTATCCCTCCATTCATGTCACAAAAGACATCTCTTCCTTCTGACATAAGGAGGCAAAGGGAGATACATAGAAAGAAGATATATTTCATTATTTAATTATCATGTCTTAAATGTGGATCAATAACTTAGAAAAGAGCAAAATTTTTCAACATCAAAAAAGAACATGAATTTTTGCAAAAACAGGTAAAGGACAATAAAATTGACTGTTTTATTAGCAATGATTCTGCACAGATAAAAGCTATTTCCTGCTTACAAATTTAGCCTGGTATTGATTAGCTAATGAAAATGTAGTCAAGATATGATAAAATAATAATAATTTATAAATTACCAGGGGGGAGGGGGGAGCGGGGAAGGAGGGGAAAAAATGAGCTGACACCAAGGGCTCTGTTGTGAGCATAACGAAGTCAACATATGTACTAATGTGCTGGACACAAATGACGTATGAACAGATTGTGATGAGTTTTTATGAGCCCCTAATAAAATAATTATTTAATAATAAAAAAAAATTTTAAAGGAAAAAAGAAGAAAATGTAGTCAAGAAATCCTTCTGGTTGCTATTGTTTTGAAAAAAACAAATAAAACAACTCCACCCACACAGCTGGAAAAAAGCTTCTGACTTCTGCACTAAAACTTGTTTACCCAGGCCACTTCTTAATAAGAGTAAATGCTCTACAACTTGACTAGGGAGGAAGACATGGCAGTCTGTTCCCATAAATATTACAGCCTTAAAAATTCTATGGGATTGTTCTACTGTCTGATAGGGGGCGCTCTGAGTCAGAATGGGTTTGGTTTGGATTGGTTTGGATTGGTTTGGTTTGGTTTGGTTTTGGTTTAGTTTGGTTTGGTTTTATTCCATCACTTGGCACTTCCAGCGATAGAATTTTAGCCATTCACTTTATCTTCTTTTCCTTCACAAAAAATTTAAAAGATAAAAATATGGTATCTACATGTGACAAATTAATCCTTTCTTACCAAAACATAGAAGAGAGTTAATTTCACAGCGATTCAACAATTTTGGTATCAAACTCTGGGTACTGCCTCTCAGATGAAAAAAAAATCATCTTAATGTAGGGTACAGCAGTGAATCCCTCATTGCTGTATTTTCAAGGAATTTCTACACACACACACCACACACACACAAAGCAAACATCTGTCCCCCCCCCTTTTTTAAGGTTATCAAAAACATGGACTTTAATTTTAGTTTGCAAGAGGATGACCAAGGTCAACAAGCTAAGTAAGCAGTGGTTATGTGTGAGGCTGCTAACTGCACCTGACCCTCCAAGGGAGAAAAACGAGGCCTTCTACTTCCTTAAAGAGTTAATCTCAGAAACCCACTGGGGCAGTTCTATCCTGTCCTACAGAGAGTCACTGTGAGTTGGAATCGACTCGATAGCAGTGAGGGATTTTTTAATTAGTTTTATTGAGCTATAATTAACACATCATACAATTCAATAGTTAAATCTTATTAAGAAGGGTTGAGCAATTATCACAATTAACTTTGGAACATTTTCTTCCTTCTTGTATCCACTGATACGATGGCAGTGATGAAATACTTTCTAGGGAGAAGTACCATGTGAATTTGAAGGCCTCATCTCCCGGCAGTTGTGTTGTGCCCTCAAGCGGATCCTGACTCATATCAACAGGGTAGAACTGTTCCAAACGGTTTCCTAGGTGGTGATCTTTAAGGAGCCAAGTCTTTTCTCCCCTGGAGCAGCTGGGGGATTCAAATAGCCAACTTTCACCTTCTGATTAGCAGGGGAGGGCTCTTAAAAAAAACAACTGAAAATAACTGCTCCCTAGTCAATTCAGACACAGCTTCCTAGTTGGATAGGACTCACCGGGTTTTCTAGGCCCTAATCTTGACTGCCGCAGACTGCTCCATCATTCTTCCTCAGATGGGGTTAGAACCATCAACCTTTCCGTTAGCAGCCCAGCGTTCAACCACTGAGCCACAAGGGCTCATTCTCATCTCCCTGGATCTCCACTACACCCTCCTCCATCTCTCGGATATGACTACCAGTGTTTCTTTTTTAAATGCCCAGGCTCCCCCTTTTGAAATGATGTTCACTGAAAAACCGGCATGGGCCCAAACACTTCTGAAAGAATGGCAACTGCCTGGACCCACACCTAGCAAGATGTAAACCCGAGCGCGGTTCATGACACTGGCTGTTGGCACACCTTGTCCGACACTAAAACCATTACACAAATCTCTGCACTCGGCTACTAGAGACAAACACTCGTGGCACCTCGTAATACATAAACCAACTTTCAAAATAGAGCCCGGAGGCTGCCGGCGGAATCTAGAGAATCTTACATTTTAAATTAAACACCCAAACTCTAGCTGTTTGGGAAGTCGCACCTCAGGTAAACAGCAACGTGGTCCAGTTATTTATGACCCCAAACCTTACACTCAAAGTAAACCGAGCCAGGCAGCCCAGAGAGTTGGCAGCAAGCAGGGTTAAGAGAGGACCACAGCGCACACCAGAGCGCCGCCCGGGCCGCCGCTCCGACAGAGCCCGCGACTCAGAACCCCCAGCTCCCAGCCGCCCGCCCGATCCCACCACCCCGCCGCTCCCTAGGGTCGGGCCTCTGCCCTGGGTCACTCCCCTCCCCCAGTGTCCAGCCGCCCTGCCAGTCCAGCGCCCTCAGCACCAGCCAAAGCCCCTCAACCCCGGTCTCCTCAGTTGCCAGCCGCTTCAGCCCCTCCCCCTTGGGAAGCAGCCCCCCCAAGTCCCAGTCTCCTCACCAGGGTTAGCAGCAGTCGCCGCCATGGCCGTGGATGCCACCGCCACCGCGCCAACCCCCTTCGGAGGAGGAGCCGCCGCCACCGGGTTAGGGTGGGGGGAAGCGGAGGGGCCACTCTTCAGGCGCGGAGCCCTGCCGCGGCCACCGCTACCGCGGAATCCAAGATGGCGGCCGCAGCAACCCACCTCAACCCCCGCCCCTACGCCGGAGAGGCTCCGCCCCCTAAGGGGGTAGGGCCAGCTCCTGGGCTGTTTGGGGTGGCTGACCAATAGGAACGCCGAGTCAGCCAGGGGCTGGGCCCGTGAGGGCTCCAGCTGGTCCAGTGGAGGAAGGGGGAGGAAGAACTCCAGCTGTCTCCTTTCGCCCCGCCTCCTTTGCGTCAGAGGTCAATGACCAAGTGACGTCAGTGAAAAAAATAATTAAAGATGGGGATTTTACTAGTCAAGCTTCGGAGGGTCTGGTGATGAAGAATTCGCCCGGCTGGGCTCTCTTCAGACGATTTATTTTGTAAATCCTCTTTAGGTGCGATACTTAAACGTCACGTGGTCATTTATAACCCTTGCTAGAATGGTTTACTTCTTTTAAAGTTTTTTGTCCAGAGGGAAAAAATGTTCAGTATTTAATTAATTTTAATGACTGCTATAGAATAGCAGTGTGAGAAGATCCGGGAGCATGCGGTCTGGTAAGGGAAGAACTTACAGCTAAAACACGGGACAACAGATGAAGAAAATATTTCTGATTACGTGATTAGTTAGTAAGAGACAGGGTTTTAGTTGGGGAGTGACAAATTTGAGGACTGAAGAGATTTAGTATCTAATGAAAGCACTGAGCACTTCCCACAAGTCAGACACTGTCCAAAGTGCTTTATATGTATGTACTCATTTAATCCTCACCACTGTGAGGGAGATTCTGTTATTACCATTTTGCAGATAATGAAACAAAGGCATAAGGTTAAGCGAGCACTGCCCAGCTAGTAACTAATAGCATAGTAAGCAAAATGGAAAAGGCTGACAGAATGTTTACCCCATTTCCCCGTTTTTTTGTTTTTTTTGTTTTGTTTTTTTTAATTTATTTATTTTTTATTGGGGCTCATACAATTCATCACAATACATAGATCAATTGTGTAAAGCACATCTATACATTTGTTGCCCTCATCATTCCCAAAATTCGCTAGCCTCTAATTTTCCGTTTTTCCCCCCTCCCCATTTCCCCGTTTTAACGCTACAGTGTTACTACTAAAAACTTGCTACCTTGCTAAGGTAATTATTCCATCTGGGTCCCGTGACTACTTTTATTCTCTGGTAGCCTCCTAAGAAGCCCATAGTTTGAAAAAAATGTAGAGAAAAAAATCAACCAGTCATGTTTAGTTGTTTAACATAAATTTCCTTAGAGTTTTAATACAAATTCCATTTTACTTTGCAGTCTTAGAGTTGTATTTATACTACAAGGATTGATCCATTTTTCTCAGCTAACATTTATCCACCAACAAATAACCTTAACCAAGACATTTGAACATAATCTACATATAATTTTATATTTGTTAATATTTCTTTTCTCTTCACTACCATTTTGTTGTGTTATATTTCCAATTCACAGGCCCATACAAAAATCACCTACTGGAAAGAAGTACATAAAAAGTAACAGTAAAGGCAGCTATTAAAATAAGACTCCAGTACAGATAACTAGAACATGATTTATTGTGGGTGGTGCTACCAGGTTGGACTGCTAACCACAAGGATGGCAAACCACCTGGAGAAAGATGTTGCCAATCTGGTCCACTAAAGATTCACAACCTGGGAATTGACTTGATGACAGTTGGTTTGTTGTTTTCTTGTTTTGTTTTGTTTGTTTTGTTTTTATAGGTGAGTTCAAGTGTGGCGAGTTCATCTAATCAAACAGAAATAAGAAATGTAAATAGAAAGCACAACTATGAATATCTACAAATTGGACTTATTGGACCAGCCATCCCTTTGTATCTTGCATGCTGCATTGGAAGGTAGGAAACTGTCAAGCTGTGATTTGGAAAGCCACCAAAGTTTTCAAGTGACTTTTTAACAATATACTTCATTGCCAAATTAAAACGTCCAGAATAAGGGCAAAATACTATTTTCCAGTATGACATTGATGAATTTTGTGGGTGATGGCTTTACATGAACTTTACCCCCCCAAAATTTGATCTTTTCCCTCAGTTCCTAACAGATTATCACTAACAAACCTTGGAATTTAAGTGTCCTCAATAAGGACTCCAGAGGACATAGTCATAGGTCAGGTGAAGTAATGAGGTGACTCTGGAATGGAGGCTGGCCAAGCCAGAAAGACACCCTACATTAAACCTCTTGATCACAACTGATCTCAGAGAACGGCCTGGTTAGACCTCAGGATATCAGCTCACCTCAGGAGAGAAGGACTGGAGCTTGCATTCGCCTCATATAATGAGACTCTCCATAAAAGCTCTAGGTACAGAAGCTCCATAAGCGGTCTGCTTATTGAATAACATCCGTGCATGCAGAAGGTTCCACATTCCTTTTGTGAAATGGGGAAGCTCCACATTAGGAAACTAATGTGTGAGTCTGGGTAGACTAGAGGAACAAGTCCACAGAAGCTCATATGTACATAAAACAGAGTTTTATATAAAGGCTAAGTGTACATCAAGAGAGCATCCCAACCCTGTGCTGCCCAAGCCCATAAGTCCTCCTGAATCTCACAAAACACACACAATGATGCTGACTGCAGGAGGAAAGCCGAATCAGTGAGCGTGTAAGCATCTCAGTACTGGCAGGGGTCTCCAAACGGCTGCTCCAGCACCCAGGGCTGCATCAGGGTAGGTCTATGTGGCTTCTCCTCAGGGATGTCTCACAGGAAGTGAGCCTTGCCAACTGAAGCAGGGAACTGGCTAAGGCAGCTGCACCCTGGTCTAACCATCAGAGAGCAAGAGACCAGAGAACTCAAAATGCAAAGATCACCAAGCCATTTATCTCTCTGCCCTTCAATTAATCCCTCATGTGTTTATCGGCCAGATTGGCACAATAAACCTTACCTATCTCACCTTCCTAGATTTCACCAGGTGCATCATTTTTTTTGTGAGTCATTCCTGGCAATTATCAAACCCAAAGGAGTGGGAAAAGTCAGCATATCAGAAATTAGGGAGCTGGGGGTAGGGTGCTATCAGACTGAAGGGGTAAAGGGAGACCCCTGAATCTGTAGTCACCAGGTTAAAAGGGAGCCCCAGTATTAGGCCTAGGCCTTCTACTCCCATAAGAACTCATGAGGGTAATTCTACCTGCCCTATATGGTTGCTTTGAGTAATTATCATCTCTATGTGTTTTGGGTTAGGACAGGCCTAGGAGGCATATTAGGTTACTTTCCAAGACAGTAAGACAGACTTTATACAGCCATGAAGAGCTACAGTCTCCAAAACTCACGAGGGCAGTTCTACCCTGTCTTACGGGGTTACTGTGAGTCCGCATCAACTCAGTTACAGAGAGTAGGACACTGCCCTTTAAATTAGGGAAGCCTGACCTAGCTCCAGGTGAAGAAGGTTAAAAAGCAGAACGCTGCATGGGGAGCTGGTGTCAGGACTGAGTTGAACAGTGGAAAAGTGAAATTTGGGGTTTGATTCACCTGGCAGTAGGTAAAAGAGAAAAGACTAAATGACACTGTTCAAAGTCTTTTTTTTTTTTTTTTGAGATGTTTATCCAATCGCCTACAACGATAATATTTTTGCTTGGAGGAAGTATAACAAGAAAATTATTAACAAAATTCCTATTAGAAATATCAGACAGAATCATGGTGCACACCTTGAAAAAGCAGAATCAGCCCTCAAGCTGTCCACAAGTGAACCTGGATTCAATATGAATCAACTCACAGAATAGTACAAATTCCAGCCTCCTGAACTGGGAAAAAATACATTTGTTCACTCTTCTTAATGTGACTGAACAATTGAATTGTATGATATGTGAACTACAGGCCAATAAAGCTGGTTTTTTTAATTGTTACGATAAAAAATACATTTGTTCTTTCAAATCATCCACTTATAGGATTTATTTGATAGCAGCACTGGCTAAGACATTTCTGTTGCCTTCAAATTGGTTCCAGCTCATAGCAACCCAACGTTCAATAGAACAAAGCTTTGACTAAACCTATTGTTGCAGCCACTGTGTCAATTAATCTCAGGGAGGGTCTTCCTCTGTTTTGCTAACTTTCTCGGCTTAATCACGCCTTTGCCAGGGACTGGTGTTTCCTGATGACGTATCCAAAGAACATGAGATCAAATCTCATCATCCAAGTGTCTAAAGGAGCGTATGGCTTTCCCTCTTCCAAGACAGACTTCTTTGCAAACACCACCATTCACATGCTTCAATTCTTGTGCACTCCTCCTTACTCATTGTAAGCTTTCAAATGCGTATGAGGTGACTGAAAACGTCATGGTACACCTTAGGCGTTAAAGTGACTCTTGGCTTTTTAAAACTTTACAGACACCATATGCAACAGATTTGCCCAGTGTGTCATTTAATTTCTTGACTGCTACTTCCGTGAGAACTGATTGTGGAGCCAAGTAAAATGAAATTTTTGACCAGTCCAATCTTTCCTCTGTTTATCATGATGTCATCTATTGGTCCAGACGTGGGGATTTTTGTTTTTATTATATTGAGTCGTAATTTATATTGCGGGCTTTTTTCTCTTTTCAATAGTTTTGTTGGCATATAATTTACATATTCTCCATCAAGAAGAGTTATACAATCATCACCACAATTAGTGTTAGAACATTTTCTTTCTCTCTTTTTTTGAACATTTTCTTCATTCTTGTACTCATTGTTATTAGCTCCCCCACTTCCCCACAACTTCCCCTGCCATGCCCAGAAGGAACCATTAATCCAGTTACTGTCTCTATAGACTGACCTACCCTGAATTTCATCTACAGAAAAACATTAGAAAACAGACAAACAAAAACTGACAAGTATAACAAAGTAAAACATAAAAATTTCATTTGAAAAGAAAACAGAAAATAGTTCCAACTACAACAAATTTAAATGCTCATAAGGAAATCAAAGGGGAGGGTGCTAAACTTGAATCTAACT